GAGAAGAATCAGATACTGCCTGAGGGGCAGTATGAGTGTGCACTGCTGTACTGTCAAGGAATTCCCCACCTTGAAGCATAGGCTTTCACATCCCTGCATCAGACCTCCAAGTCCAGCATGAGGATGATAGGAGTGAACTGCCTCTACCATGGTCCAGATCCTAGCTATCCTACATATTGGAGATTATGTATCCTAGAGTTCAGTTTGGAAGGGACCTTAAAGGCTGTATGTTCCCATGGCTAAGTAGGAACCCTCTATACCACATACTTGAAAAGTCATCTAAAAGATTTAAATAGTTCTCCAGCCTGTACTTGAAAATCTCCAATGAGTAGAAACTTCACACTTTCTGAGGCTGTCCATTCAACTTTGAGACAGCTTTAAGGGTTAGGAAGTGTGTTGTGTTTCAATATCTTTCCTTGTCATTTTTTTTAATATGTTGAGATACATAGTTGTATTTAGTCCTGTTTATATAGTACCTATAATTCTTATTATAATTATTTTTAAACCCATAACTTTTAATACAGGCTATCAGGTCAAAAGCAAAAATATAACAGTACCGTAGTAAACCATAGCATGAGCATAACTGCTTCCATAGCAGCCCCTTTATTTCAAGGGCATTCTTGAAAGAGGAATGGGCCTGGAGTCAGGAGGACCCGAGTTAAAATCCAGCCACAGACACTAGCTGTGTGACCCTGGGCAAGTCAACCCAGATTGCCTCTCCCTTCCGCTGCCCCCTACCCCCTTCCAAAAAGGGGAATGGCCACCTAGGTTGCACAGAACATTTTCTGGGCAAGTGACTATTTTTGAAAAATGTTCAAATACGCTCCTTGTTCAGTCTTTCCTTTACTGCTCCCCCAAGGGTATGACCCCCAGCAGGCTGTAATAATTAGAGGAAAAACAAGTGGAATGTAATGTTCCAACCCTATCACTTTAGAAAGGAGAAAAATGAGAATCATGGAATTTAAGTGACCTGGCCAAGGTAGCAGGATGATAGTAGACTGAGTAGAAGTCATCTTCAAACATCTCATTTTACAGGTGGGGAAACTGAGACCCAGAGACATTAAGTGACTTGCTGAAAGTCACATAGGTCCTTAAGTAGCACAGCCAGGATTCAAATTCCAAATCCAAGGTTCTTTCCACTACATAAATGCTCTAATTCCAAACCATGTTTTTTTTAGTCCTCTGGGTCACCACTTGCTATAGCAGTTTTGGGGCTGACAATGCCAACACTAGGGGGTTAGTTTCATTGATGCCTTTTGTTTTTACATCACATTTACAAATATATCCCCCTCCACCTTCTTATGTAAGTGAGGAGGTTTTCCTTCTAACAAAGATTAGGAGAAAAAAAAATAGTTCAGAAAAACCAATGGATACATCAGTAGGGTCTAACAGCACATGTAACATTCTACATCCATAATCCCCTACCTTGCTAATGAAAGAAAGAAGACAGATTCTCTTGTCTTCTCTCAGGGAACAAGCTAATGTATGTGCATTTAATTATATTGGTATCTTTCATCTTCACATCACTTTAAATTTCCAATATCTCCCTCCCTTCCTCAGAGAGCCATCTCTTATAATGCTAAGTAAAAAAAAAGCATAACGTAGGCTTTGGCCCCAGTCTCTCAAGGCCAGGTGGGCTACATCTCTCCTCCAAGTGGATTGGAGTAGCTTTTTCTCTACTGCCAGCTGGAACTCCAATCAACTGTTTTTTCTCTATTAACAGGGTCAGTGACTAGCAACCTCAGTTTTATTTAGCCACTTAACAGTAGATAACATTTAAATAGGAATACTTCAAAGATATAACAAGAACAAACATATGTTTCCCCCAACACTTCTGAAAAATACTCTCTCCTACACTTCCTTCAGTCTCCAGGGGAATAGGTTTGAAGCTTAGCTCAATTATTACACAGCCTTGCTCCTACAAGTCCATGTGGCATAACTGCTAGATGAATTCTTTTGAGCTGTATTCCCAAAGGTCACTCCTGAAGATCACACCTTAGTCCCTGGGGAATAATCCTGTCCTGGTTGGGAAACTCAGCCTAGGCTTGGACTCCTGGATTACTTTGGTTTGCTCTTCTGACCTTTCAAAATTATCAGTATCAGAGACTCCACTTCCTTTACCAGATGCCAGAAGGGAAGGAGTCACTGAGACTCCCTCAAAAGCAAATGAGGCAAAGAGGCCATAACTGAAGCTAATAGTTTTTGCTGAGTGCCTCTGCAGCCTAAGAGCCTTCTCTTCAATGTGTAGTTAGTTGGTCAGAACCAGTTATAGAACGTCTATACATGCTCCGGGCAGCTAGGTGTCGAAGTGAATAGAGTGTTGGCCCTGGAATCAGGAGGACCTAACTTCAAATCTGTCCTCAGACTAGTTCTGTGACCCTGGGCAAGTCATTTAACCCTAGTTGCCTCAGTTTCCTCATCTGTAAAATGAGCTGAAGCAATGGCAAACCACTCCAGTATTTTTGCCAAGAAAACCCCAAATGGGGTCGCAACTAAACAACAACAACAAAACCACATACTCCAGTTTGTCTCTCTAAGGTATTTCTCTTCTCCATTACAAGTCTCCTCAAAGCAGCACACTACCGTCTTCCACATAGAGACACCACCTGAGACACTCTGAACATGTGCGTCCCCATTATAGAAGGGAAAAAAAAGTTTAGCAAAACTAACCCACGTATCAAAAGATGATGGTGACAACTGCCATGTATCTACTACATGCCAGGCACTGTGCTAAGTGCTTTACAAATATTATCTCATTTGATCAATGTTCCGCACCCTTCATCAATCCTTCCTCCCATCCCCACCCCAAAGAAGTGAGAGAAGTGTATTTTCTGATCTCTTTGGGGCCAGGCTTGGTAATTTACATTTCCTTACCTTTTCTTTTCTGTTTACATTGTTGTTGTTATTGTACATACTGTATTCCTGGTTTTGCTTACTTAATTTGGTAACACTTCATATGTCTTCCTGTTGTTTGCTGTACCTTTCATATTCATTTTTCTCATGGCACTGTATACTGGTATCACATTTTATGGACACCTACTTTGTTTTCAGTTGTTTTTGTTTTTGTTTTTGCTACTACAAAAAAGTGTTGCTATCAATATTTTGGTGTACATTGGACTCTTCCCCTTCGTATTTTTTTTTTAACCTCTTTGGAGGTAGATGAACTGTAGAGTAAGATTTCTGGGTAAAAAGATATAAATATTTTAGTCTCCTAGCATAATTCCAAATTGTTTTCCAAAATATTTGGATCAATTCACAGTTCTATCAACAGTCTATTAGTGTGCCTTTCTATTTGAAATATCTCCAAAATATTCCCATGTTTTGTCATCTTGCTAATGTGTTGTTTGGAGGGCCTCATAGTTTTTGTTGGTGGATGAAGGGGCCTCATTTCTTGTTTTCTTTTTAAAAAACTAATATAATTTGTTTTCACATAGCCTCAATTTCCCTCTGTATTTCTTACCCCTCCTTCTCAGAAGCCAGTCCTTACAACAAAGAATTTTTGAAAAAGAAAGACAAAAAAAATTGAGTAAATTGACCACTGCATTGAAAAAATTTGTTATGTTATTGACCACCCCCACCCTCTTACCCCTTCAAAGGAGAGGAAGGAGGTAACTCTGGGGTCAAACATGTTCCTTATAGTTTCGCAACATTCATTTTCTATTGCTTTATAGTCATTATCCCTTTAATTTATCCCATTGCAATAACTGTGTGTACTGTTTTCCTGGCTCTGCTTACCTCATCTTTCCTCAGTTCATATCTTTCCTTGCTCCTCTGTTTTTATCATGTTCGGTCTTTTTTGGGGGGGGGTGGGACTGGGAGGGATGGTGAGCGTATTTTTCTTTTACAGTGTAACAATATTCCATCACATTCATATACCACAATGTGTTTTCCTCTCCCCTAATCAGTCAGTCAATGAATATTCAGTGCCTACTTTGTGCCAGGCACTGTGCTAAGCACTGAGGATACAAAATAGGGGAAAAGACAGTCCCTGCCCTCAAAGAGCCCACAATCTAATGTGGAAAGAGAAAACATTAAAAAGAAGCTGAAAAGGAGGATGCAGGGAAGACGTAGGGGACGGTCCCGCAGCCCGGGAGGAAATGATGAAGTGTCTGCCCTGGATAGATGTCTACTTCGTTTCCAGGGTTTGGTTTGGTTTTGCTACCACAAAAAGTGTTGCTATAACTATTTTAGTATCCATAAAGTCCTTGGGATATACGCCTAGCAGCAGAATCTTCGCATCAAATGGTATAGGTATTTTAGTCACTTTATCTGCATAATTTCAAATTGCTTTCTAGAATGGTTGTTTCAAGTCACAGTGCTGCTGATGTAGTTTTAAAGAGCTAGGAGATCGTGAACTAGCGACAGGTCTATCTTCGTAGAGCGCTGGGCTGCTCCAGGTTCCCGTCTCCCATTCTCTCACTGGTTGGCGCTGGAGGGAAGGACCTCGGCACATTGACAGAAAAGAACGCCCAACTGGACCTCAGGAAGGTTGAGTCAATCATTCCTCACCGCGAACCTGTTATTCTAGCGGCTCCTGTAAGTAGCAGACCAATAAAAAGGCGAAGACAAAGTGTCCCAATCAGAACTTGGTTAAGGAACATGCGACCGCTGATAGGACAAATCAAAGTCGATTCGACCAATCATGCGTCTGGTGCTGGGTGGGAGCCGAGAGGCTGCTCAGGGAGTCAGAGAAGCGGGAGGAGCTGGAGCTCAGTTTGGGCTGGACGCCCGCAGTAGAGGCCGCCCCTTAGGGGGTGGGAGGGGTGGGTTCTCCGCTTCGGGAGATGCCATTGGGGACAGCTTAAGGGGGCGGGGCGGGACGGGACGGGAGGAAGTCAGCGTGACAGCTCCATCTGAGGGAGGGGACTTGGAGGAGATTCGAGCCGAGCCGGGCCAAGGCCCAATAGGGAGGGCGGGAGGTGACGCTGACAGGGCACCCGTGGGGTGAGGGGTGGATGAAGGAGGAGGGAGCCAGCGAGGTCCTGGCCGACTGCGTGCGTGCGGGGCAAGGGAGGAAGGGAAGGGGCAGGCGGGCAGGCACAGGCCGGGCTGGCTCCTGGTCCCCCAGACTCCCTTTCGAGCCTAGCCATACCCCGCGGACAATGGGAGAGGTGGAGATCTCGGCCCGCGCCTACGTGAAGATGTGCCTCCACGCTGCCCGCTACCCGCACGCAGCTGTCAACGGGCTGCTGCTGGCTCAGGCGCCCCAGGCGGGGGGCTGCTTGTGCCTCAGTGACTGTGTGCCTCTCTTCCACAGCCACCTGGCCCTTTCGGTCATGCTGGAGGTCGCCCTTAACCAGGTACGACTCCATCCCCCATCTTGGAGTTGCCCACTCACTGCCTCCAGGCCTTGGTCTGGCAGGTTCTGTCCACCTTTGCAGCTGTTCATTCGGCAGTCTCATCAGTAAAGAATTAATGGGCCCTTTCTCATAACAGGTAGATGTGTGGGGTGCCCAGGGCAGTTTGGTGGTAGCTGGGTACTACCATGCCAATGCATCGATGAATGACCAGAGGTGAGTGAGGGAGCTGGCAGTGGAAGAGGGGGCAGGGCTGTGCTCTAAGGCAGGAGTTCTGAACTTTTCTTGGTGTCAGGGACCCCTTCTCAGAATAATGGTTTGTTGCCTCCATTCATATTGAAGGAAATGCTAAATTTCAGTTGGAATTTAGTGAAAATAAAAATGTATTTTTTTTCCTTCCAAGTTTACAGGGGGGTGCATGGACCCCAAGTTAAGAAGTTCTGCTCTAAGGTAAATGTTTGCCAGGGTTAAACCCAACCAGTAATTTCCTCCTGACTGGGTTAGTTTCACCTCACCTCCATAAGGGTTGAAGGATACCTGTTAGTCTTAAATGACATGCAAGGAGATTGTTCTGCTGCTCAGAATCCTCTAATGCCCATCTTCTTCCTAGTCCTGGTCCCCTTGCCCTGAAAATTGCTGGACGAATTGCTGAATTTTTCCCTGGTGCAGTACTCATCATGGTAAGACTAAGGATTGAGGGACTTGGGGAGAAAAGGAGATGGAAAGGGAACCCTGGAACCCTCAATAATCCTTACCTCAACTTCTCAGCTGGATAATTGGAAACTGGTGCCTCAGCCTCGAGTACCACCTATCATTGTCTTGGAGACTCGTGATCGACGCTGGGTCCCCAAAGACAAGAACTTGTGAGTAGAATACCTCTAATCCTTTGCCTCAGCACTTCTCACTATACTCTTTGCTTCTAAGTCTGGACTCCTTCCCTCCAAATCCCTCCTTCCTGGAATCCCAAGGTAGCAGAGTAATTAATTTCAATCCAGACTCCTAAGCCTGTTTCTCTTCCTGTCTTCATTCCCTGGATGTCCTAGACCTAAACTTTGCCTTTACTCCCAGTTTTTAGGGCTAAACTGAATGTTTCCTTATTGATGGGTATTATTTCAGGGTGATGTGGCGGGGACTGGGAAGAGTCAAGGCATCTCCTTCGAGCACTACTTGAAGGCCGGGCCCACCAGCTTCTTGTTGACTTTGATGCCCACCTTGATGACATCCGCCGTGACTGGACCAATCAACAGCTCAATACTGAAATTTCCCAATGGGTTGCTGCTGCCAATGGGAGTGCCTGAGCTAGGCCATAGTGGTTAGAACCACAAATAAAAAGATGAGGAGTGGTGTGACAAAATTTATTGGTGCCTAGAAGGCAAGGTGTGAATAAGATGGGAAGTTCTAAATGGAAGCTGGACTGTGGCAAGACAGATAATCCTAGTTAAGGGGTGATGGAGAAAGGAGGCAGGCTCCGTTCTTTTCTTTTTTTTTTTTTTAGTAGATCATTCCTTTTGTGTCTCCTCTGGGCTTCTTGATCTTCTCATAGTTCTTCAGGATGATATCATATAATACAGCCTGTATGCCCAAGTGAGAAGGGAGTGGGAGTTATTCTGAGCTCTCAGTAGAGGCCCTTTAATGGCTTCCCAATCTAACTAGAAGTTTCATTTCCCCTCTTCCACCCCTCCCAGGGTATACCTCATGAGTCACTTGTCCTGAAACTAATGTTGTTTGCCTCTGCATCAACCTTCCCTACTTTGCCCCTGCTCTTCCACTAAGCAAAGTCCAGGGTTTAGTTACTTACATAAGTATTTCGGATCTCCATGACCATCAGTCTTGTTTCTCCATACTGTGCTTCATCCAATTCATGAACCAGCTGTCGATAATCACCCTGTGGAGGCTTCGGGGTTAGATCTTCACAACTAGCCTTATCTAATGCCCATTTTACTCTCCCCAGTATCAGTCCTGGGGGCTTCCTTCTGAATTATGCCACCCTGCCAATTCTGGACCTACTTCCTCACTCACCACATGTGGTTGCTTTGCTGCTTTAGCCACTGCATCACCCCTTTCAGAGAAGTACCTAATGAGGAATGAGAAAAGTTATGGGGTGGGTGGGAAAATAATGTTCCTTAAGAGAGATGAACAAGGGAGACCTTAAAAAAAAAAGAAACCAAAATGGCAGCACCTAATAAGAGAGGGCAAGAGCTGGAATTTGAGCCAGTAACCATTAAGACAGGATATTAAGATACATACATACATGCATATATATGTATATATATGAGACTGGATCACTTACTTTGAGATCTGGGTGTGGAAGCCATCCAGTTTAGTTCTAAGTGTAGTCATCAGCTCAAATACTTTCTCCTAGGGAAAAGAAAGGCAGGAAAGAGATGAGATAAAGCAGGGCTCCAAAGCACAATCAAGGTAAGGTGTTTAGGGTGGGGCAGTGTAGCGCTGGGTCATCACCTGGACAGCCACTCCAAAGTTGTTTCCATCTTCAATTCGGGGCACCTGTAGTTGCAGCCACATGGAAACCTGGGAAAAACAATGGCAGAGACAACTCAACCCTGCTCCCTATCCCTAGTTCCTTTTCCAAATCTTTGGCCTCCCTTATCACCCCACCCCTACCATCTAAGGCCATATCCCCTTATATCACTGGCCACAATCCTGTCTCCCTTTTTCTACTCTGATAAGCCACTATATTCTGATTGACAAGGTCCCTTACCTACTGGTAAGGCAAAGGGCAGTTGTTCTGGATAAGTTGGTTCTCTAGTGGACAGACCTTCTCCAAGTCCTGCCAGGGAACTAGGTAAAGGGTGGGGCTTACCAGGTTGAGCTGTTCTTTCACATCTTTGATCTCAGGCTTCAACCGCCCCAGAAGGGCCACAATCTTCTCATTGCAGCTTACAGGCCCACAAGGAGGACCTGGGGAAATATATCAGAAACCTAAAACTCAAGTGGATGAAGGCAGCTGGCTCTGGTGAGGATCTCATGGGGACAATGTATCATTAGGGAACCAGGATTTAAGCCCCCATCCAGTAACCCCTTATTACCTTTATCTTCATCTTCCTCTTTTTTCTTTCCATCCTTATCATCCTTCTGCAGAAGGAGAGGAGTCACGTGAAGTCAGGCCCTAAGCACTCAGATATTTCCAAACTAGCCCCATCTTGTTCCCCCTTACCTCTTCTTGTTTCCGATGCTTTTCCTTCTCTTTTTCTTTGGCTGGGTCAGGGATTGGGATGTCCAGGGTAGCCCTTAGGAAACTCAAATCAGCCTCATTCAGAGATGGGTCCTAAAACATGGCAAGGAGAAAGGGTAGCAGTAAATGTCTTTCTCTTTCAATATCCCTTCTCTTTCAATTTTTCCTCCTTTTCCATGATCATTGTCTCCCTTTTCCTGATCTTTACTCTGCCTCCTCCCCAGCCCCAGTACCTTTAAGAACTCATCCAGCTCTGAAATCTTCGTGGGGAAAAAGGTTGCAAGTAGCATCTCTGCCTGTGTATAAGGTAGGGGGTAAGGGGTAGGTGTCAGATATTTATTGATTGATTGATTGATTGACTGAACAGCTGATTAGGGCAATCATTCAGCCAAAGAAAAGGAAGCCAAGTTTGTGTGAATTGAGATTGGGGTAAGGATAAGTTAGAACTAGGGTGAAGGATACAGGAACAGAGTGAAGGTAGTGTGCAATAGTGAGGTCTTACCTGAGCACATAACTCCTTTCTGAAAAAATCTACCTGTGGGGATAGAAGAGCGTTTTCATTTAAGACTAATAGGCTGAGACCTAAGGAAAAACTCATATCTCCTTGGGATTGTGGACCCAGATGCCAGCGAGACTGAATCTAAAGGTATGGAACTGTTCCCAGTGGGGCTGAGTTCAGGTGAGACACGGGAACAGATCCCAGGAGGCTTAGATGTGGGGGAGGTATGGAACAGAAATCTCCGTGGGACTGGCTTCAGGGAAGATGTGGGAACTGATCCCAGTGGGGCTTCATCTGTGGGAGGTGTGGGAACAGTTTTGAATGGTGCTGGGAGAGGTGTGGGAACAGATCCCAGTGGAGCAAGATTCTGAGATCAGGAGAGATACTGGTATGCAGGTTTCGCCTGCTTGTCACATGTACGGGCCAAGTGCTCTGAACCATCACCCAACCTTTCCTCCTCTCTCTGCTTCACCTCACCCCATCAAACCGCTCCCTTCCTTCTGGCTAAAGTCCAGCCCTCCCCCCCCCCACTCCTGCCCCAAACACCTGCCTACCTGCCTAGTTTTCCTTTTACAGGTCCCCAACTCCCCTTTACATTCACTGAGGGTGCTCTAGACCCTGCAAGGCTGCTGATCCTCACTTCATGCTGGAGATTTGGGGGGAAGAGTATTTTGGCTCCCCAGACAACTGCTTAAGTTTTAAGGACTCTCAACCCCTTCTCATTGAGAGGCCTAGGAGAGGAGGATGGGGGGAGGGGAATGGGCAAGGGGAAGCAAGGGGAGAATGATGGCATGAAGCTGAGTAGAGTTTCCCTCAGGACCACCCCTCCCCTCCATCTTACTCCCCATGACTTCACCCCTCCCTTCTGCTGTGCTCACCTTGGCTTGGTCTTCGGGTCTCAGACTGAGGGTGGCCATGGCAGGGGGGTTAAGGGGGCCAGACCGAGCAGTGAGACAGGAGCTAGGGGGAAGGGAAAGTGAAAGCAGCTTTGCCTGTAGGGACCTCCCTGGGAGGGAGGAACTGAGCCGGAGGCGGGGTCAGGTTTAGAAGAGGGGAGGGGAAACTCGAGGGCCAGGAGGAGGTGAGGCGGGGCACCAAAATACTGTCCCAGGGAATGGGGACAGAAAGCCCTCTTCCAAACTCTGTATATTTGTTTTGTCTGGTTCCAACCTCTCAGACTTTGTCTTCAAGCACCTCTTGACCCAAAGGGATGAGCTCCCTCTCCTCCCAACTCCCTCCGGCCACCCTTCGCTCCTCACACTCTTCCGCCTTCTGTCCCTTCTCAACCTGTGTCTTCCTCTCTGTAGTGTCTAGCTACTGAGTGAAGACAACAGACATGTAGGCTCGCACAAACATTTCGTATATGTTCGGACAATGCAGGAAGGACATGTGCCCATCTGTCTACATATGTGTATATGTGTGTATGTCCTCTTGGTGGAATTGTCCATACTGGGAGTTCTGGGAGTAAAAGACATCAGAGGAGACCTGAGGAAGAATGTGGGTAGGGGCGTGGGATCACGGATCATGGTAGGCTACGTCCTTCTTTTCCTGGAAATGCCTTTTAAGGAATGATAGCGACACCCCCTGCCCCAACCCCACCCTGGGGTGTATTAGGTAGCAACCTGGAATGTAGGAAACACGCTTGTGGGTCCTTCCCATTCTGTAGTGTTTTAACCTCCACTATTCACCTCAAATGAAGAGAAGAGTCAGCGCCTGGCTTTGATTTGCCTTTATTCCCATCAGTCGCGCTGAAGTCTGGAGTGGGGGCATTGGGGATGGGTGAAGAGCCCGTGGCCTGGACTCCCCGGTGACCAGGGTTGGCGGTACCAGCTGCCGTAGGTGAGGTGCCAGGCAAAGGTGCCCACAGCAGCACCTACCACCTTGTGGGTGTATCGGTGGAAGTAGATGACAGTGCAGAGTAGCAGGAAGTTCCAGAGGCTCAGCAGCAGCACGTTGAGAAGGAAGACAAGTCGAAGAGGGGCGCCGGCAGGCAGCCCATGGGCCAGGTACCGGGCAAAGACTGCAGTCTCCTCAGCCATGAGCAGGCAGCAAAAGGTGAGCAGGAAGGTGTGCGAGGAGACAGTGTAGCCCCTCCACTGGTGGCCGGCTGCCAGGCAGCTGCGTCGGTCAGGCAGCTCGTGGAGCAGCAGCCCCTGGGGCAGAGGCTCAAAACAGGAGCCTGTCAGGTCCTCAATGAGCAGGAAAGCACGGCCGGCCCCTCGCCAAACCGCTGCCCCTACCACCAGCCGGCTTAGGTGCCGAGCCGTCACTGCCACTCGACGTGTGGCCAGGAACACCACCAGTAGCACGAAACCTCCCAGGAAGGTGCAGGTCCAGCCCCAGGCGGAGTTCACAAACTTGCTGTGGAGTTAGAAAGGGGAGAGGGGGGAGGGGAAGAGAGGCTGTTGTAAAGAAACACTCCTTTGGATCCCAGGTTCTTCTGGGTTTCTCTGCCTTTATCTCCCAGGAGTCCCATTTCTACTCCCCATGGATCTTTGCTATCTTCCTCTACCTTCTGACCCCATCTCATCTCTGCCCCCCATTCATACTACCCTGGGCCAAATCGCTAACTCTCTCCATTTCCCACATTCTTTGCCCCTCTTTACCATCTCCAGCCCTCTACCCCCCACCCCCAATCTCCTGAAAAACTAAGTCTCATAGAGCATGTCCTGCCTTCTAAATCCTCCCCTTGCTCCCCACAGTTCCCCCCCCACCCCGACACTTGACCTTCTCCTCTACCTCCTGGCCTATTTTTAGTGCTCGGACTGGCAGAAGGACAAGAGCCCAAAGGAGGGGGGAGCTTAGAACCCAGAGTGGATGGAACTAGCATTAAAGGGCCTGACCAGAGAGACTTACATGTTGAAGAAGTTGCCGTGGCTGGCGAAGATAGTGCGGGGGTTGACACGGAATTGTAGCAACGGTCCAAAGATGACAACTGCAGCTAACCAGGCATGGTAAAGGCGCCGCAGGCAAGGGCTCCCCAGGAGTCGGGCGGCCTGCTCGCTTCCAAAGTACAGGAGGGCTGATGCTAGCCAGAGCAATACCCTCAGCAACCAGCCCAGCACTACTCGAAGCCGGGCCCCGAGTCCTGTCCCTGTCCCCACCCCTAACCCCCGCTCCATGTTCCCTCCCCTCTGACTGCTTGCTCCGCTGGGCAGCTGAGGAGGGGCTCTTGGGCCCCCTAGGCAAGGACAGGCAGTGACAGGTGCCGGAGATACAGGGCAGAGCTAGACTGGCAGCTGGTGAGGGAGAGAGGCGGGGGGGGGCAGCTAGGGGCTGTGGCTGACACTACTGCGTCAGCAATAGCAGTCTGTATGTCCTTCCATAACATGTATGTCCTTGTGTCCTCTGTTTTCCCTACCCACATTCTTGTTTCAATTTGTGGATTAGAGCCTACATGGCTGTGTGTCACTGTCTGAACTTTTCAGCCAACATAACTACTTCACTATCTACTTTTAAAAGGAAGGAGGAGTGGTCAGAGGAAACAGCTCATCAGCTTTTTGAGATTTTAAAGACATGTATTATCACCTTCATATGTAACTTTTTCCAATTTGGTGCAGGAATTTTCCAAAGTAGGTGGAGCAAGGCAAGTACCCATTCTCACATACCCTGGACTTGGGTCTGGGAGAGTGGCTCTGGGCGGGGGGGTTCCACAATGCTGCGGAGGAGTTGTAGGCCTGGCCTGGTCCACCATCAGGTCTAGGCTGGAGTCCTTGGAAGGGGGAGCAGAGCAGTCTTGGAGATCATATTCAAACCTCAAATTTGTACCCTGTACTAATAATTGGACTAGAACAGACCCCTAAAATTGGAGCAGAGTCCTTGGACATGCTCTACCTTACTGCACTAGACTGGCCTTAGGGAATGCTGGGAGGAACATCCTTTTTTTTTTTTTGGTTTGGACGGTTTTTGTTATTCCTCCCTCTCTTCCTACATGCTCCATACTGGGAGGCAGTATGGCACAATGGTCAGAAGACCATGGTTCTACCCTCAGTTTTGCCATTTACAAACTGTGAAAAACCTTGGGTAAGTCAACTAACCTCATTTGGATATGATAGAAAGGCTTTCTCAGAGAGTGATTTTGTATTAGCTGGTATTCTAATATCCTTCCCAACTCTCAGGTTTTATAAATCTAACCAAGATGCACAGTAGTCTGTCTGTAAAGTGGTCATCATACTGAACTACTTTTTCCTTAAAAGGGAGACCTGATACTAGTATACCAGGGGCCTAAATTTTTTTGCATAGGGGGCTCACGTATACTCCCTTGCAAGCTCTACCTTTACTTGCTAGGGGAGATGTTTTAGGGACAGTTAGGTGGCGCAGTGGATAGAGTACCAGCCCTGGATTCAGGAGGACCTGAGTTCAAATCCAGCCTCTGATACAACACTTACTAGTTGTGTGACCCTGGGTGAGTTACTTAACCCCACTGCCTAGCCAAAAATGAAAAAAGAAAATGCTTTAGGTTCCTGGAGTAAGCAACTCAACTCCAAGCTAATTCCCTATTTTTAGTGGGGAATTAGTTTTTTTTTTTTTTTTTGCTTTTTGGTGAGGCAATCGGGGTTAAGTGACTTGCCCAGGGTCACACAGCTAGTAAGTGTCATGTGTCTGAGACTGGATTTGAACTCATGTTCTCTTGACTTCAAGGCCACAGCTCTATCCACTGCGCCACCTAGCTGCCCCTAGGTGTTCTTCTTAAGACAAAGGAGAAAGTAGATGTTTTTTGAGGGGTATTTAATAGGTTATTTTCAACCCAAAGGAGCATCTTCTGGCTATTAGGTTTCTGCACACTGTGTTATGCATTTCAGCCCCAGTCATGAAGTTGGTGAAGTTTATATAAAGCCTTAGTAGCAAGGAAACAGACTGAGTCAGATTTCTGAGGAAACTTTATTGAGGGAGCTAAAGCAAGTGTAAGACAGGAAGGACCCCCACCTCAACCCTAGTCCCCCTACCCACCTGTCTTGAGGGGACACAAGTTGAAGAGTCAGTTCCACAAGGATTTAAGGTGGGGACTTTAGGACTTCCTACACTGTAGCACCTCCTACTCCAAAGACACAACAAGGGAGAGCAGATTCCCAGTCTGAAGGAATAGCTTCATTCCTCGCCTAATGAGGAATGACATTCTGGTCATCATGAAAAAAGGAGAGCTGTGGTGGGGAAACCCACCTTCTGAATGGCTAGTCTGGCCTTCAACTTGAAGGTCCATGCTACTGAGCCAGGCAACGATAATCAGACTCTGATTGGCCAACCCATTCAGACCTAGCCCAGGAACACTAGTCTACTGACCAACTCTCAGAATCCAAACTTGATTATAAAAAATAAGCGTTCCCTGCCTGGTTAGGACCATACCTAAATAACTACCTGGGGGTGACCTCTTTTTATTTTCCAGAGTTGTCTGTTCTGCCTGCCCTAGGGGTGGGGATTGAGGCTGGGCAATAGCACTAGATTACAAACACAACCCAGCCTCAAAGGGCAGGATACCCTTACCCAGAGCACAGCTAGTGTGGAAAAGCTAGGGTTTTGGCTCCTCACTCTCTAACCCTATTAGCTCCTCCACATATCTCCCTGAGGAGAGAGAGAAAAGAGTAGGTGATTCCCCTTGGGGGCTGCACAGATCAGTCCATACTGACAGGAAAGAATTACTGGGAAGAGGAATAGGCTCCATAGGAATTGTATGGTGGAGTGGTGGTAGGACAGTCCTCGGAATCCAGCAGGTCCTCCCTGAAGTATTCAATTGGACGGTACTGCCACAGGCGAAGATTCCCATCCCACTACAAGGGCAAAGAGGAGGTTGTTAGAGGAGGACCCTCTTAAGCCTTGAACCTAAATGAATCACTCAAACCCTCACAGAACCCTTCAATTCCTATTCCATTCCCTGACCCTGCCAATCTCACCTCTGGGCTATTACCCCTCATTGACAATTGGCTATTAATTTTTATAACTGGCTATTAATTTTCTAAATATCAACAAAGATGGGTACTCTCCAGCCGAAAAACATCTGGAGAAAAATAAACATCCAGAGGCCCGGATTTATTACCGGATCCGTTACTAATGAGGGGACGAGGGTATGCTTGTATTTTTTCAGAAAACGTCAATAAACCTGTCTGCATACCGGAGAAAGATGTCAGAGCATGTAAAGGAACTCACAGCTTGAATGTAGAGTATGAGGATTCTGGGAGAGCACAGAAGGAGTCAATCTACAGTGACAAGTCGCCTTTCCACATGGGGTCCACTGAAAGCTCCCTCTCATCGAGCAATGGAAGACTCCTGTACTTGTATTTTCTAGCAACAGTAGCTTTACCTTCTGCTCAAGTGTGTAATGTACAGAGTGCTCAGCAATGGACTTATTTTCCTTTTCCACCCTGGATGCAACCCCTCATACATATGGACAAACTGGGAACTATAACACCTGCATATTTGAAAGACAAGGCTATCCCTTTCTCCAGGACAAAGCCAATGTTACAATAACCCTCAGATCTCTAGCATCCAGGACACCTATATGTTTTTCAAAATTTAGCAACAATATTGAATCCTGTTTTTTCCTTGTTACATCATTTTTTAAAAATGTCAGTGTGTCTAATGGACATGTAAATTTTACTCAATCTAATACTACTTTTGAATAGAATGTTACTTGTGTCAATTGTACTCTCAAACAATGTACTGATAATAATGACTATATTGTACTTTTGGTAGAACAATCATCATCTGCTATTTTCCCTACCAACATTTCATCAGAATTCTGGTGAACATGTTCCTCAAATTATTGCTTCCTCCTTAAGTCAATCAGAACAATTTATTGGTCTCCTTATTACTGGTTTAACCATTGTTGCTTTTCTTATTGTATCTACTACTGTTTTATGTATTGTGCTACAATCTGAAATCTAAACGGCATAATTTGTATATTACTTAGCAATGTTTAGTACTTAAAGCACAAGAAGCTATTGATATATTGTATAAAGTCAATTTATTAGAACAATCTGTTATATTTAAGAGGTGAGGTAGAAACCTTGAAAACAAGGTTGCTATTGCAATGTGATTATAGATATTCATATATTTATGTTAGCCTGCTACCCTATGATGCTTCAGATCCTAATATCTCATGAGACAAGATAAGTGCCCACCTATTGGGGGCCTGGCACAATTCTAATATTACCCTCAATATTAATACCCTTCATGATATTACTGCCATTTAAACTGCTCAGTATGCTAACAATTGGTCTGCGGTTTTACAACATCAAATTAAAATGGATGCTATAATGCAACAAGAATTGGATGTTTTAGAGCAGTCAGTGACAGCTTTAGGAAGACAAACAGAACAATTAACAATGTACTTCAATTTGAAATGTGATTATTGCTATTCTTCTATCTGAGTAGCTCCATATATGTATTCAAATTTCACTAATGTTTATACAATCATTGAACAAATATTAAATAAGCTCCAGGGTACATGGCACTCTGAAAATATTACATGGGAAATTAGCCAATTGTCCAAAATACAACATGAAGTAGCTGATTTCTCATACTGATGGTATTGATCCTCAAGATATTGCAAGCAAATTGTTAAATTGGATACATCAACTTAATCCTTTTAAAAATGTATTTAGCTTGCTATTGCATTTTCTACCTTGGCTATATTTTGTGTTAATTTTGTGTTTCCTCCTTCCCTGCCTCTTAATATACGCTCACCACATCTTAGGTGAGATTCACACATTTTCTTGGGCAGTGTTATTCATCATATTGTGTTTCATTATTTCTTGCATTGTCTCCTTAATTAAATTAAGGATCAGAGTGTTAGGAACAGATGTTCATTGCCTCAAGCTGCTTGCAAAATTGAAAGGGGGAACTGTTGAGGGCTGGCTCTAAAGAGTCCAATCCAGGTTTAAGATCCAGGACAGAGTTTGACTCTTGCCCGGTCTTAACCCACAAGGCTCAATCATTTAGGATGCAGGCTCTCCAAATTTCCCCTGCAAGGGAGGCTCCCAAGACATTCCTTTCTCACTCTTTGAACCTTTAGATTTATATACCACTCCTCTATGCAGGTGGTGCCAAGGCACCTGGGAAAGCCTTGGAGTTTACAACCCAATCTAGGAACCCTGATAACGAGGAAATGTATGTTGTCATATCCTCAGCAAATGTTTGGGGGGTGTCTCACGGGGATAATCCTTTGAAGTTAGGCTAGATTTTTTTTTTATATATGCTGTACCCTCAGATGAATAAACTGGCTCAGGTCTTCAACTGACCCGCCTGGCCCACGTCTTTCTTCATTTTGCACTCTCCCGTTTGGTGCACTACTTGACTGCTGGCAACACTTACTGAACTGCTGACAATCTTCTGCTCAAAGGGATGCCAACTGACGTCCCGTACGCAGGCTTTGTGGCTGGACAGCTTCTTCACAATTTGGCCACTGAGGAGGTCATATACTATACAGGAAAGGAAAGAATGAGAAGGCCACTAAGGTACTATCCATCTACATCTTACTCTATAGCAAGGATTCTTAACATCTTTAGTGTCATGGGTCACTTGTGGCAGTCTAGTGAAGCTTATGGACCCCATCTCAGAATAAGTTTTTAAACGCATTAAATAAATTACATGGATTGCAAGGGAAATCAATTATACTGAAAAAGTTATTAAAAAAAAAAGTTCACAGACTCCTAGGTTAAGAATCTCTGCTTTATAGGAACCTCTCACCAGCTTAGCCTCTTAATAGCCACTTGGTCCAGACTTATTTTTCTTGTGAAGCAAAACTTCCTACAGTATAGAAGGGTTCTTTTTTTTAAAATTTATTTTGATTTATCAACAATCACTTCCATATGCTTTTGAATTTAAAATTTTTCTCCCCAGACGGGTTCTTTTAAAGTCTCTTTTTCATTATAACTTTGATTATACCCTACTCTGAAAAGATGTTCTAGTGATAGGATGGGCAACTTCAGATTTCAGCTTAATTTCACGTGGTCCAGAAAAATCTAATATGCTTTTAGGAGCAATATCTTAAAAAGCTATAATCTAGAGAAGTTCCTGGATACCAGCGTATCTCCCTTTGTAGGTCCATGTCTACGTCTATATCTAATTCAGTTCCTCGCCCCTTCCCTCCTACTGGGTTTTTCTATGAATGAGTACCTGTGTTTCACTTTTAGTAGACATCTTTTTGTCTTTCTGTGTCTCTGTATCTGCGTATTACAGATCTCTGTCTCACCCTCAACTCCCACCCTCTGCTCCCCAAACCCAACAATATAACTATATTAAGTTACTTCTTATGTGACCCAAATTTTTTTTTTCTCCTGGGATTTTGGCCTTCAGTGGAAAAAAAGGTCTCCCACCATGTGGTGACCTTCTGCTGTTCCTGTGGTGATACTTACTAACAACCTTGC